CTGACCCCTGGCCGGTATTGCCCACCTGCTGTAGCAGGTATCGCACCTGCTGGTGGGTGCAGCTCCCGCATGTTCCCTCGTTGGAGGCTTGAGCACGTATGTGGCTGCTACAGAGTTCCCCGTAATACTATAATGAACAATAAAAAGGCCTGAAAGGCCGTCCTGTCCAGATTTGACAGGTAATTGAATTGGTTGGGCACCTTTCCCGCCTGGGAAAATAGCGGGCCTGGGGTAGGCGTCCGACCTTTCCAGAGGCCGAAACGACATGACGCCCGCCGATGGGATCCGACCTCCGAAGATTCAGGAGTTTGGGAAAACTGCCAGTTTTCCTTATTTTCCCACGCGGGAAAGGTACTAGTGCTTTAGCCTTCTCAAAAGAAAAAGAAAAACAACAACAACAACAACAACAAAAACAACAACAACAACAGAGAACAATGACAAAGGACAAACGGGAAAAGGAAAGAACCAAGAACAGAAACACGAGAAAACAAAAGGATCAGAGGAGATGGTCGTTCCTTTTCTACTACGAGCGGAGAGTGGTGTCTCGGATTCCTTTCGTAGGTGAGAGCTCGGCCTCGACAAAACTTTTGACAACCACTCAGTCTACCGCCATAGCCTTACCGACCCGTAACAAACTTTAAGGGCCTCGCTCCACTACWCTCGACATCATGCACAAAAGACAAAAAATCATAGCCGTGTATCTTTCCATGTTCGAGRGGAGGCTTCACTTTCGTTTTGCACATGTTGAGAGTAGTGGAGCCAGGCCCAAAAAGGGAAAAGGCGTTAGTACCGGGAAGACCCAGCGCATGCAGCATACGTTTGTCAGCGATCCTGAACAGAGCATTGTGACMGATGATGTAATATACGTATATGTGACGTATGAGATCGATACGGAAGGACGCCATCCAGAACTAGAGCAAAGAGTCACAACAGACGAAGTCACTTGATTTCACACTGCAAGGGAGCAAGGTATTCCGAAACAACTTTCGAGTCATCATCAACACAGTAATACTCAAAGCTGACTCAGGAAAGGGCGGGTCAGCCCTTTTCTTTCAAAAGGAAAAACAAGAAAAGAATGTCGGATAAGTGCGCAAGGCCAGCAGTTGCAAACATAGCACAGGCCGTAGACGGAACGCGATGATTCCACCTGGCAAGCACCCCCCCCATACAAAACTGCGATTGGACAATTTGATCGTGTTGGCTTCGTACCTCTTTCCCCTCTGTGAGACACAACAGATAGCCGGGGGGTGGATGTGGGGGGTGGATGTGGGGGGTGGATGTGGATGGAGAGAGAGAGAGAGAGAGAGAGAGAGAGAGAGAGAGAGAGAGAGAGAGAGAGAGAGAGAGAGAGACTCATCACATTGGAACAACACGCAGAAGATTAACAAGGCCCCTGCTCAAGGATGGCACCCATAAGTGAAGATATGGTCCATTTTTTACATGGGAAGAAAGAAAGAGAGACCAACACCGATAAAAAGGCCAAGAGCCCAAAAAACCATAAGAAAGTGATTACATAAAGAAAGAAGCACATTACACAGCCGATAAACCGATGGTAATACCCCCTCTGCAAGACTCTGGAAGTCTGATCCTCTCTTACTCCTATTCGAAAGGAAAGAAGATGTACTAGGCAAGTGGACGGAAACGACGGTTGTGACCAGAAACAACGATACTCCAAAAGGCAGAGGGAGAATCTCGGTGCTGAGTCAGCAAAATTSGAGAGGGGATCAGGATCCTTGGGACGCAGATTAGAGGACAGCTATCATGACTAATTGAAGCATTTCAACGCAACCGAATATTCAGGATGTACCTGTACATCCAAAAAGAAAAAGTCCCAAACCCATCATGATGAAGCTTCCTCCATCGCAGTGCTAGCTGTGCGGCCAAGGATCCTCCTTCGRCTTGCATGATACACTTAAACGGAATCTAGTGGTGACTTCGTATTCACATATTTGCGGAGAGAGAGAGAGAGAGAGAGAGAGAGAGAGAGAGAGAGAGAGAGAGAGAGAGAGAGAGCTAGTTCTAGCAATCGAAATACACGTCGCGTGATTACATRCCGATATCCGTCSGGCTAGRCCTGATCGAGAAGTCCGTCCTCYCGGCTCACCGCAGCACTGTCTTCGTTTTGTAGAAAGAAGACCAGCGCTACATCTCTCCGCAGACTAGACTATCCATTSAAGACTCATCGCTTCTAGACAGGGACTCAGAATGCGGCTTTTTTCCGCAAAATMGACTTCTCTCTCTCGAGTCTCGAACCAGAGCTGTCTTGCCAGATAATTAAGCCGTTGTCRATGGATATCTCCGCTCRCCTTAGCAACTCGACCAGTTGATGGCAAAGATTTGTGTGAGCTTCAGATCCTGCGAGTCCATGGTGATAATTCCGCTCCTTGGAGGTTTTCCGGGATTAACTCGCACTTCTGAGTTAATGTTGAGGTTCCTGATCTTGCCGCACTCGCTTCCGACTGYGTTCTGGAAATAGTATGTCACCTCGTAGTTGCCATCGAACTGGCCGYTGAAGACGTGAGTAGCTTGACCCGACCCTATCCGTCCGGAAATGTGATAGCCCGTCCTCACGGTTCCCTTGACGCCCGCGTCCAGCTTGGCGTACCCGCGCATCGTCACCGTCCCGAGAGTGAAGAAGAAGCCAGGCGGGTAATTGAGCATGACGGTCACGACGCAGGACTTGCGCATGTTCTGTTGCCCTTCGTCCGTGGTGGCAGTGAAGGCGCTGAACATCACCGTCAGCGCCTTGCTGTCGCCGGAGATGGAACCTTGAACAGATCCTACGGGACAGCCATCGCCGTTATAGTCGAAGCCCTYGATCGTGACGGCTCCCGGCGGAGGAGCACCGGCATGCACGTTGACGGCGAGCTGGAGGACTGCGAGGAGCAGCAGCGCCGCGATCTCCGCCAMGGCTGAGCTTSACCGGAAYACTGTCTTCATCCTGACTCTTCTTCTGATGCGTGACGATTTTCCGCCTTCTTCGGCTGGCTGGTTGAGAAAGAAAACGAGCAACACGCGCCAAGGACGGCGATGGCTTCAGGTTCGAGGTCGATAGCTAACACACAACCCAAACCTACTCCTTCACGTCCACCCCTGCSGACTTATGGCCGCTCCTCTGCTCTCCGTCCCAGAAAGACTTGGCACCACAACGACACGGAACACCCCATCAGCAGCTTGATCATAGACGCAGCTGACGTTTACTGTCCCAGTGGTTTGGCTATGTGGGGTTTTACACAGAAAAGCAGCAGGGCAGTTTCTTTTTTTTTTTTTTCTTTTTTTTTTTTTTGTTGGGGGCAGGGCGGTTTCCAAAATCAGTCCCATTGTAGAGAAGACAAGTAGGACGACACACATAAATAGAGAAATGGTCCAAAAGATAGAACACAGAAAAAAGATAATAATAATAATTATAATTGATATTATTATTATTATTATTATCTTATTATTATTATTATTATTATTATTAATTAATTAAAATACATGTATCTATCGGCACTTTGGCTAAGATCAAGTGTAGTATCTGGGGCCTCGTCCCACTACGTCCTATTTACGCTTGTGCTCCTCCGTTTTCTATCACGTGCGGCCGTCCATGACATCCGTCCGTCGTTGATCCAATAGCATATGGAGGCAGCTGCCCATGGGCCAGTAGAATTTTTTTTAAATCATTTATTTGGCCATTTAGTTGGCCACTGTGCCTTGGCGCAAAGCTTGAATACTATGGTTTTTTTGGGGGGKCTGTTTTTGCAGAAATTGAGAATATTGAGATTTCCATGGGAGACTGAGAACAGGCCAGCGGCAAGCTCGCATGAGGATGTACCGGGGGCTRGGTGCCACTTGCACGAATTAAGAGATACTGACCGTAGATTGCAAATATCAACGGCCAAAATCTCCTAATTTGCGCAAGTGGGACCTTGCCCCGGGTTGGTGGAAGTGCTGATGCATAGGGTGTACTGTCAYGATGTCTATGCCAGCTCCCCTGATTTTTCATTTTTTTGGGTCCTTTTCTTTGCTAAATAGCATTGTTTATGCGATTTTAAATAGGAAAAGAACRCCACACACCTTTTTAAACTATGCAAGTGGGTCCAGGCTCCTGGGGCATGGTCCCACTAGCAAGGGGATAGCATAGAAAAGAGTTTGTGTGGCAGTTGAGTGACCCAAAATCTGCTGTGGAGTACTCATCCCACGGTCAGTATTTWACATGTATTACCCGAAAAAGTAACCAGATCATTGTTCTCTCCTCCTCTCCTTACACCACCAGTACTGTGGCCTACATTCCAGCTGCCGGCAGCAGGTCCAGAATAAGAGCGTTACCTGTGCCAAGCATCGAATGTCCCATGTTGGTTCCCGCCACCTGCAGGCTTGGCAAAAATAGGGGCGCAGGGCATATTCAGGCTTGGGGTCAATAGCTSGTACGTACACGGCCTCAGCCTGCCTCAGCCTTGCAGCAAGATAACTTGTCGCCACAAGAAGTAAAAGGCGGGCTCAGGGCAGGGTCTGAGCGTAAGAAGGTTTTTGTGTAACTTTTTGATATTTTGGACCCATGTCAATTCTGCATGTCATCCAGTGGCCTAGCTGAGTTGGTAAGGCACGCAAGTGGCATTCAGGAGGTCTTGGGTTCAATCCCCATTGGCCTCATGTATCTTCCTGGGCATGCTTGGCACCTGTCACCGAGAGATAGTCCATTGGTCCCCCCAATTGGCATTAAAAAGCAGTCTTTGCTGATGTTCATAGGGGGAGGGGAATCGGGGAGGCACAGCGACTGGCCACTGATGATGCTCGGTCCCTCTGCCACTGGCTATCCCCTGGCCGGTGTCCCCCCGTTGGGGGTTCCCTGAAGGCCATCAGGCCAGCCTAAGGGCTATCAGGCCACCGTTGTCAGATTAGACACAAGATTGAATTTACCTGGGCTGGTTAGTCGATGATAAATACCTCAAGGCCATCCCACTTTTAACAAAAACGTAAATAAATCCGCATGTCCCAAAGAACAAAACAAGCTTTGGCCGTGATTGCAGTTGGATACAGTTTTTGGAGTACTCCACAGTCCGGAGTACTCCTCCGACTGAGTCTGCCCTCAGGGCATAC